CGCGCCAACACGATTCACAACTTTTCATCATCGTTGACAGCTTTGTAAAGACACATCAGACATTTGCCGGGGTCAGGTGATGATGTGATGCAATCAATTTCGACCTGATGATTCAATTTCTTTTTTTTGTGTGCGGGATGGAGACTGAACCGTTGTCAGTGTTGCATCGCACATCACACATATGTCATTTCATCCGCCGCAGGTGTTTGAAAACGTTTTCCTTCATGGTCCTTCCTGGCCTATCTCTTATCCTATTTGACCATCGCGATCGACCATGATCACGCAATCACACATTCATATATATATATATATGTATATATATATATATATGTGTGGCGCTGCAACATATCATACATACGGTCAATTAATGCCAAAAATACACAGGGCAGAAGAAGGCATGCCTCATTAGTCCCAAATCACATGTATGTCATGAGTCAGTGTTTTAAGTGTCAGGTTGTAGTGGCTGCTGCGATGGGATTTGGCCGTCGCCGCCAGACCAAGCCTCGGTCACGCGTTGCTGGCAGCATGGCCAAAGGCAAGGGCAAGGCCATGAAGTCTTCATCTTCTAGGCCAATGAAGAAGCCATCTGCTTCTGCTCCTAAACCCAAGGCCAAGAGCAAGCATACACCCAGAGACTCCAAGTCCAAGCCCAAGCCCCACCCCAAGCAGTCAAAGCAGTCCAAGTCCAAGCGCAAAGCAGAGGAAATCCCTGCTCCAGAATGTTCTGCCATGGTAGCCTTGGACAGCGTGCCCAAGGTGCCCTTGGAGGGGAAAAAAAGGCGTGAATTGGCCCAGGAGTACAGGAGCCTTGCAAAAACCATGCAGCGACGACCGGGTGCCCTGCGTCGTCCATCGGCATGTGCCGGAGATGCCGGAGAAGAGTTGGAAAGGATGAGGATCGAAAGCGAAAGGAAAGCAGAGCAGGACATGCGGCGGGAGGAATGCAACTCAATGCGGAGTTTCATTCAGGATATGGCAGCCGAGGATGGGGATCGTCAGGATCAAGAGGAAACAGAGAGGTCTTCTTCGCCTTCGGCTGAGGCTGGCTCAGGTTCAGACTCAGACTTGTCATCTTCTTCTGATGTCAGCTCAAAGACTGCGGGCAGGGGTGCTGCCGCCAAGTTGGAGGAGACGGGTGACGGTCACGGTGCAGCGTCGGCTTTGAACATGAAAGATGTTGATGAAGATGAGGGTGTGTGGAGCAGACCACACCAAGGTGAAAGTCAGGCTGCAAGTGGGGCTGCGGCTGCTACTTGTCCCGCTGGTACAGAGGCATTGGCCGAGTCTGACATGAAGGTTCCAGATGATATGTTTTTGACTGCCCATCGAATGGCTGGAAAGTTGAAAAGTCGCTACGGCCTCCAGGCTGTGCACAATCTTCTCAGCAACCTGAACAACTCAACGCTTGTCGCCTGGGTTTGCTTAAGTTTATCTTTGTTTTTTTTCATGATCATCAACTACCACATGGCCCGGCGATAATTCTTTCTTTTTTCAAGTGGGTAAGGTATGGTAAGTCCTAAGAGTCAAGAGTCTTAAGCAAATCCGAGGTCACTTTGTATAGTGGGCTTGGCGGTGCTGAGTTGGCTTTCGAACAAGCCCATTTGGCTTGCATGGCTTCTGTTTGTCAAGGTGACCAGACTGAGGAGCATGCAGAGCAGCCTCAGCAGACGCAGACGCAAACTGGGCCACGACCAAACTACCTTTTTGCTTGCGAGTGCGATCCGGAATGCATTAAAGTCTTGGAGACCCACGAGGCCAGGCATTCGCACCGACACTCTTGCTGCCTTAAATTGAAATTCCATTGTGTTGCATCTTGTTTGTTGGACAGAAGTGTATAGTTCATGGATAATAGTTCATCGGTCATGGAGTCATGGCTGTGGAGCTAGGCTCTAAGATCAATCAATATTCTATTACTGGATACTGGGAGACTTCGGCTTGGAGGAGTTTGAATTACTGTGAACTACTGTGAAGTTCACTGATTCACTGGCATTCTGGTTGGCCTCACGCAAATGATGGTATGCTATATCCCGGGCCACCAGTCTGGTGACTAGTGGATATAGTGGATTCATTACATTGGTCCCTGGTCAGCGTTGAGCGATTTAGTTTGCATTGAGCAAGAGCCCATATCTAAGAGATCCCTTCATTTAAAGGTTGATTAAGTGAGTTAAGTTGCTGAAGTTGCCTTGCTGAAGATGGAAAACTCCCCTGCCAGGCGATGCCCAAGGTGGTCCCCAATATCCTTTCGTTTGTTCAGCAATGGGCAGTGAACAGGATGGACGCAGTTGTGACAAGGCGCTGTGCCACTGAATGCTTGTGCTGTGGTTGTGTCATCACGCTGGATTCCAGGATGCATAAACTATAAACTGCACCGTGCCAAATCTAAATCTGATTCTCGGACTCTCTGACTCTTTGACTCTTTGACTGCCTACAATGACTTTTACCATTTGCCAGGACGCAGGACTGAGGACTCTCAGGACTTCTGAATGGTTTACCGCCTAAAGCCAGCTGTACTTTAACCACTGTGGAGGCTGAAGCAAGATGTGGACAAAGTGCTGAAGAAGGCCAAGAAGAAGGAAAAGACCAGCGCTTCCAAGTCCAAATCCAAGTCCAAGACTGCTGCCGCGGCAGAAAATGAAAAGGAGGCTGACCAACCAGACCCTGAAATGAAGAAGCAGGTCAGACAGCTTGGACTTGAAGCCCTGCGTGAGATTGTGGGGATTTTGGACAAGCGGGAAGCTTTCAAGGAAAAGATTGTTGATGTGAACGGAAAGACAGTTGTTGCTTGATTAAGTCAAGTCAAATCGGGCATTTGCATTGCATTTTTGGATCAATGATATTAGATACATGTCTAAGGCACTGCAACTGGCCATCGCAAGACCACAAGATATTCTGCATGTTTCTTTCCTTCATGCATAGTTTATATATGTTTCTACAGTGGCAAAGTGGCAAATGAGATGAGGATGAGGACAGGGGAAATATGATATGGCTGGGTGATGAACTGATACCGAGCATCTCTGGAAACCGGACACTGACACTAGAAAGCACATTGGTGTGTGTGTGTGTGGAACATCTGAAGAGATGTAAAACTTCTACCTTGGTTCTTTGCCATTACAATGAACCAGTTTCGAGTATTTTATACCAGGCGTTTATCCAGTCTCCTTTTGAATCGCAGGGGGCGTGACGGTCGATTTCCTATAGTCACGTCAACGAAGCTATGGAAATCAACTGGATGGAAGTTTGGACGCAAACTTCTGTACCTGCAGTGTCGCTCCTGTGCGCATTCAAGTCGCAGCTGGGGGACACGTCATACTGTGTTTTCTGTTGTTGTTTAACTGCATTGTCAAGTGCCAACCAAACTTCAACCTGAGGTTTCTCACTTCTGGATCATTCAATGGCTCCTGTCAGGTTTAATTGGAGTGTTTTTTGCACGTAAGATGCATTCCACATCAGAATTCGCAAAGACGTTTCTGAGCAAGTGTGTGATTCATGCTGGATTCGTCGAGGTGGCATGAACCCTTCGGGGAAAGCTTTTCCAAGCTAAGACTTGACACTTCGAAATGACCTCTGAATTGACACTTTTGAATTAGTAATTCGTCTAAGCAACCTGAAACAGCTGGCCATTTTTCGGTTTTCACCCTGTCGACTGTCGTTTGGTTGAACAGCATGCCGCTGTGCCTGGCTTCACCTTTTCTTTTGTCTCAATTTACACTTTTGAATTAGTAATTCGTTTAAGTAAAGTGAACAGCTGGCCATTTTTCGGTTTTCACCCAGTCGAATGTCGCTTGGTTGAACATCGTACCGCTGTGCCTGGCTTCACCTTTTCTTTCATAAAAAATCAGGCAACAGGACATGCTTTAGGTGTGTTTTTTCTTTCTTTTTATGGTCGTTGGTGAGGTTCAATTGTGCACGTACTTCAGGGGTTGACAACTTAAGCCGTTTACAGGGTTGTGACATGAAAGCCGAGGGCCTTTGAGCCCGAAAAATGCACGTAATGTGGATGCATCTTATTTCATCAACTAGTTCCCCATTGGTCCCCTATCTCATGCGCGCTTTCCTCTCTAGGTCAGGTTTGGGTCCTTCGCGTTCCTATAGGTACGCTTTGGCTCTCGCCTTGTAGGTTGTGTCAGGCGCTTCTGTCCGCCCCCCCCCTCCTCTGGTTGGTTTTTTGGCCCGTCGTCCGTCCGCTTTTTCTTTTTCCTTGCCCTTTCAGGGTTTGCCCGTTTCGGGCCAGGTGTGTTGGTGTTGGTGTTCTCTCTTTTTCCTTTTCCTTTTTGCGTTCCCCCTCGTGTTCCGGTTAAGTAATTGTCATCTCATTTTCATCGTCATCTCATTTTCATCTTTCCTTCATCTTCACCTTCATCTCATTCGTCGGGGCTTTAAAAAGCCTTGCGGCAGCGGGGCGTGTGTGTGGAACATCTGAAGAGATGTAAAACTTCTACCTTGATTGACGGAATTGCTTTTTCTTATCAGGTTCTTTGCCATTACAATGAACCAGTTTTGAGTATTTTACCAGGCGTTTATCCAATCTCCTTTTCAATTGCAGGGGGCGTGACGGTCGATTTCCTAGTCACGTCAACGAAGCTATGGAAATCAACTGGATGGAAGTTTGGACGCAAACTTCTGTACCTGCAGTGTCGCTCCTGTGCGCATTCAAGTCGCAGCTGGGGGACACGTCATACTGTGTTTTCTGTTGTTGTTTAACTGCATTGTCAAGTGCCAACCAAACTTCAACCTGAGGTTTCTCACTTCTGATCATTCAATGGCTCCTGTCAGGTTTAATTGGAGTGTTTTTTGCAGGTAAGATGCATTCCACATCAGAATTCGCAAAGATGTTTCTGAGCAAGTGTGTATGTTGTGCAAAATTAAAAACATTTACGATCTGACCAGTGGACTGTTGGACTGGACTGGATGGCGGCTGTTTGGGAGAGCAGTGCTGGAGTCACAACAGACAACAGTCACGAGTCACAACTGTCAACAGTCTAAGTTTTGGATTTTGCGCAATGCAGCTTGAGGTTACCTTGAATGAGCTCCTGGTATTGGCGGAGGGCCTTGTGATGTGGTGTGGCAGCGTGTGCAAGGACTGGTCGCCGATGTCCTCACAGAGTGGCTTCTCAGGAAAATGGATGCCGTTGTTCGGTGTCATGATCGGCTTGGTTCGTTTGCTGAAGCCACGCTGTTTCTTCCACGAGAACTCTTCAAAGTTCGACTCGTCGGTGGGGATTCGGGATCTGCAGTTTGGGATTGTGATTGTGATGGCAAATACTCAGATGATGTTCATCATGGTTGTTTGTAGTTACAAGGCTCTTGCCCAGTGATACTAAGAGTCTTTTGCGGCAGGGCCATGGGTGCTGTGTCCCATGGTGTGTTAAATTCCTGCCCTCAAGTCACAATAATGTCATGGAGCCATATTATAAATCCTAAATCAGCCTAGGGCCTCCTAAAAAAGAACCAGTCACTCTTTATTTTTTATCTTTATTTCTTTGTCATTGTCCCTGAGTCCCTGAGGTGTTCCAAGAACTGTTGAAGGATCTCGGCTTCCAGCTACACCATGAGATCCTTGACCCACGCGACTTTGGGATGCCAGTGCGACGTCCTCGAGCTTGGGATTGCATTCTACGAAAGGATGTTGGATTGATCAAGGAGCTCTACGAGTTGCAGAACTTCAAGTCGCCAGTGGTGCTGGATGCTGGCGCATTTGCGCTGGCCAGTGACGAGGAGGCAAGGGACAAGAACACGGTTAGATGAATCAGATTCCAAGTTCAGAACAGGCCAAGTAATTCAACAACAAGAGTGAAGTTAACAGTTAAATCGGAGTCAGGTCAAGAGTCAGGACACTGAATTTTTGTTTCGTCGAAGCCCGTGGAAGAGAACTGAACAAATATTAGATATCCTGCATCGTTGTGACATTGCGCAATTGCCGTTGGAATCGGTTTGTTGCCTTATCAGGTGGCGGCGGTCAAACGCCGCATGGCCATGACGGCGATGCAGGGGATCAGTGAACCGTTCTCCAACTTGCTCCCACCAGGAGCAATGTCAAATCTGACAAAGTATCGGGCACTGGCCGCTGACCTGCTGGGCCGTCATTTGGAAGTCGCTTGCAACCTAGACCAAAATCCTGAATGTATGCCTCATTGGGGTCGCCAGATGCCGGTGGTCTTAGCCAGCACCACAAACATGTGGCTCCTCAAGCAGAACAGGCCACTGACAGCAAAGGCTGGGAGATCAAAGTTTTTTTTTCGGCCACCAGTCACCACTCACGACGGCTGTTCACTGCATGTGGTCGTGGTTGTGGTGCATGGTTGTTGTCGTTGTTGTCGTCGAGTCGTTGCTGTTTGTGTTACCCTGAAAGGAGCTCCTGGCATCACAAGGGGTGCCCATCTATGAGAGGTTGTGGAGGCTGGCAGGCTTCACCGCTCCTCCGGTGAACGTTTCCGCCGTGAAGGAGTCGGCGGTGCGTCGTATGGCAGGCAACTCCTTCAACCAAGCAGTGGCCATAAGTTTCCTGATGTTCATCATGGCCAACTTGCGGCCAGTGGAGCCACCATGAGCTCTGCGCCGATGGCCCTGCCTCTCCCTCTCGCTAGCCGATAGCAGTTTTTGACTTTGAGTCGAGTCTTTGAGCCTGAGCCAAGTGGTCTGACACTGGCACCTTGGTCTTGACGATTTGATTAGAACTTCTTCTTTGGCCCCGGCCCCGGCGCCAACCCCTTGGATTGCTTGCATGACTCGAACTCGCATTTTAAGAGTCATATTTTGACTTTTGGGCTGGGGACCAGTCAGTGCCACAGTGCCATCTTAGCAGAGCGCGATGCAGCTGGTGCAGTGCACAACATCTGAGGCAGCTGTTGCCGGCCGTGCCGACGTTGTGAATAGTCAAGTGCCAATGTCAATGTCAATCTTGTTTTTACAATTTCCTTGGGCAGAGAGATTTGGCGGAGATCGTTGATGATGAATGCATGTTCGACATGACATGACCTGGAGTGCCAGCCGCCAGCAGCTTTGTTTTTTTGGTGTGGTGAAGTGTGGTGATGTCAATAAAAACAACAAAATGGTATTGAGTATTGAGTATTGATTGAAGAAGTAACAGCTGGACGTAGTTTTTCTGCCGTTCTGCGACTGAAATTTGGATCAATGCGCCTGTGCCAGACGGATTTTCACGAAATTCCAAAGCTGACCTGAGCAGACTCTTTTCAGCTGTGTTCCTTGTTGCAACATGGTGGCAACGGAGGAGTCGGAGCTTCAACGATCCCCTTCCCCGCCAGTGACACCGGCAAAGTTCCTGCCGCAGCCGCCTTCAGCCACCACGCCGACGAAGTGCGCAGACGGACTTGGTGGCAAATGCAAAGGCTGCAGAAAACCTTTGACTTCGTCGCCCGAGACTACTCCAGAGGTTGAAGCTTTGACCGGAGGCAGCCCTAATACTATTTGTTGCTGCTGATTTATGGATGTTGCTGTTGGTTATTTTTGGTGATTGGTGACCTGGCCTGGCCTAGTGGTGGCGAATTCTGAACTGATGTTAGGTGGTACCTGCTAGTTGTTGTGCTGTCAGGTCGAGGCCGATCGAAGGACCATTGCCCTGAATGTGCTGCCCGCCGACGGGCCATTCTTGCCAAGGCCGGGGAATTGACTGAGTGGTTCACGAAGCTGCAAGACGCAGACCCTGACGCCTACAGTGTCCTGTCTTGGCCCGTTGTTGGTTGGGAGTTGGGTGGATCCGTTGGGTTGAGACAAATAGTCGCTGGACTGTCCATGTCAACTATTGTCATGTGAGTCAAGTCATGTCCGTTACTGTCCGCTCTGGTTCCATTTTATCATCAAGAGTCATGACTCACAATTCAAATAATTCAAAATCAATACAGACTCAGACTCAACGAAATGAGATGACATGACATGCAGTGCAGACCACCACAAAGAATTGATGGATTCTGAATTCTGACTCTGACTACCCTGGCTCTAATTTGAAGCTTATATCCGTAGCCATAGCATTTTTTTAAACTAAAAAAAGCTAAAAAAATGACAAGACAGGACAAGACAACATTAAAACATTTTTTGTCCACAACAGGATATGAGGCACTTTGGGACCCTAAACAAAGAATACGCAAAAAGGGAAACAGGCAGGCAGGCCGGACCACATTGCACTTTAGTACTATAATAATAACAACTAGCCCCCCATCGCTTCACTTGCCCAGGCGAACTTATCAGCGACCATGCGGACAATGTGGACTTGGGGCGTGGAAAACGAAGCTCATGGACGTTGGCGAAGTGGCTTGGCTGGTTCTGTTCGTTTGTTTTCATGTACCATTCAAAAATCAGTTATATTCAATCATGCTTAAGAATATTGTATCTTTAATACTTTTGAGATCGATCAGAATGCACTTTGAATGGGTGTACTGATGATCACACAAACCCACCCATCTTTGGAGTAGATAATTCTTCCTAGTCCGAAAGCCATATTCAGAATCAGGACTCATTTGAGGGAACCAAGAATGCAAAGAATACGCTCAAATCTCTCGATTTTAGGGCGAACAACACTTGGGAATACTGGCTGTGTAGCCGTTGATGTTGATGGTGACCTTCCATATTTGGCTTTGTCTCAACAATGCAAATATCAGCAAAGCAAATACCCATCAAAAATCACCAGAGTCAAGAGTGTATTGCATCCAATTGCCCTGTTTCAAGACATCACACCATCCGTGGTCGATTTCGATTCCCGATTCCCATTTCGCACGCTTCTCAATTAGGGATTTTCCAATTTTCCAACGTTAAGGTTCAAGGACCGGACAGAGACCTCACGAGGAGAGCGGACGAACTCGAGCCGGACGGCGGTGGACTTTAATGCGTACCAGTCCATTTTCACTGATCCCCGTCTTGGAAAGGACCAGATGAGCAAGCAACAGTGTAAGCAGGCATGGCTGCGGGGACTTGGGGATGCGAAGAAAGAGCCCTTCAAGAAGCAGGTGTGGGTGGAGAAACTCGGAAAATATGAAGTGCGAGAGCACCTGTGGATTGAAATGCCTGCGGTGATGGGCGGGTCACTGACCAAGGACAAGTGTCTTGGCTGGATTGTAGCTGGGCCGGGGCCGCGTCTGGATAAGTCTGATATTCAGATTCCAGCCAGGCAGTGCCAGGCAGGCCAGGCCAAGTGTATCAATAGGTCCATCATCATCCACCTTCTGATCTTGCACGTTTGTGTGCCATTTGCACTATGCACTGGACTGGACTCATTGACTCACTGAACTTTTCCTGGTTGTGTGCCTCTATTCGTCTTACAGCATTGCGTTCAAAACCTGTCGTAGATTTCAACAAGGAGATGCTAGTTGACACATTAATACAACAAAAAGGATGGTATGATATAATCTTGATTGGTGACTCAGACTCAGTCAGACGCTCAAAGATCGATCTTTTGTCATCTTCAATGTTTTGAGACTTTAACTTTGAGACAACACTCAAAACGCTGATTCGGGGCCTAGTGCCTAGTGCTCTCGCCACCTTCACTGTGAAAGCAAGGGTCCGGTGATGCGTGACCATTAGCAATATTTCACATTCGTAGTCTGTTCCACTTTCACTTACTGTATTCTTCTTCCTCTCCAATACATTGAAAGAGTCTGTGTCCATATTCGTTGATCAAACTGAAAACCGCAGCGGTTTCGTTACGTTCACCCATCAGGTATGAGGACACCGCCAAGAAGAAGATCGCCGACACCATCGAACAGGTCAACAATCCCAGTGACTAGCCTGAGCTTGATTTTCTTTGTCAGGCTACAAGTAGTAGCAGAAGGCAGAAGACTCAGAGCAGTTTAAGTTCGGGTTAGGAAGTTTAGGACAAAAAGTTCATTCCAGTTTTGGTGGTCAAACACCGGTCAGACAGTGAGACGATCTTGCAGTTGTCCAAATCTCATCACATCGACTTAAGGTGCACCTCAGATCCGTGATTTGCGGCAGAGGGTGCTGTCCTTTGTCTCTCACGATCCAAGCGCAGAGTGGTTCATGCCCCTGTCGTGCACGGCTTTCCTGGATGATGAGGTGGTCTTCGATGAGGGCCGTGGCCAGGGGAAGCAGAAGAAGTTGCCACGCACTGGCAAAGATGGCGACGGCGCTGTCCAGAAGCCCGCCACCAAGGCGAAGAAGAATAAGAATGTGGACATCTTCCTGCTCAAGACGAAGCACAGCACCAAGGTTTTGGCTTCTGTGAAGTTGACCAAGACAGCGCTGTACGACGCAGTGGCCAAGGTCAAGTTTCTGAGACAGGAGCAGGCAAAGCTCTACGAAAAGATTGCCAGTTGCTTGGCTCATGGCTTCGGAAATTGAAACCTGTCTGGGCCCCTAGTCCCATAGTCCCTAGCCAAAATTTGAAGACTTCAAGTGGCAAGTGGCTTTGGGGTTGGCGGCCGGCTTTGCTCTTGCTCTTTGAACCTAAGTAGGCTTTGCGACGTCCTGTTACTTTGGGTTTTCAACTTTCTTGGTGGTTGCTTGTACCATCTAGGACGAAAGCTGCCAAAAGCTGGCTAGAGGAAAACAGACATAACATAAGTACAAAAGTTACATAAGATTTATGTATACTTTATACACGACAAGGACACGGGCTTGTATCAACATGGGAGTTGTGATTGCCGTGGCCGTCATGCATTCGATCTCGAACCATTGATTGTTTGAGTCTTGAGTCTGTGGGATGGATGATGATGGCTGGTCAAATCTGACTGGCTCATCCCGCATCAGAATTAGAATCGCCAACGCTTTTCCTACAGCCTCAGCCAAGGTTTCTTGGAGAATGACCAAGGTTTCGAGGACATGATGGATACCAGCCCTGATGACGCGGACCTTCCCTTTCTGAGGTGCCTGTTCATGGTGGAGCGCCGCGTAAAGATCGTGGAGTCTATCCTTCCTCCCGACAATGGGAGCAGTGTGGATGTTGAGAAGGCGACAGTCGGCAGTACGGGTCCAGAAATATAAACTTTTACTCCAGTTCCATGGTGCAGGGCAAACGTAGCAAGGAATCCAAAATTCCACTTGACTTATTGTTCGTTCATGCAAACTCCAAACAACCACCATTCAACTTAATCCAGATGGCAGAATGACATCCACACATCCGGCCCAGGCCACTGCAAACACGAAGGCGCTTCTGGAGAAGGACGAGTACCTGCAGGAAGAGGCCAAGGACGCCAGGCCTTTGGTGGTTTTCGAGAAGCCTGAGAGCTTGTTCCAGAGCGCCTCAACAGCTGCTGACTGCGAGGATACCATGAAGTCTGTGTTGTTGAGCCTTCAAGCGGCCAAACTGTGCTCAAAGTCTCTGCGGAAGAGTTGCGACGATCTAGGTAAGTTGAAAAAGTCCCTGGACAAAGCACGAGCGGCTTTTGCTGCCAAGAAATTGGCCGCAGAGAAGGTCACTGCGGAACAGGGCGGCCAAGCCGCCACTGGGAGAACGTCATGGAGCAAGCTGCTGACTGACGCAGACCTGCCGATCGTCCAGGGCGGCCGAACTCTGTTGACCACCCGGCCGATGAAAGTGGTCTCCGCGGCAGAGGCCAAGGACTCAGAGTTCTACCCAGG